GCAACCATGAGACCCACTACTGAGGCAACCTCTCTTATATGTACAGGCCCCTTATGGTTAAGTAGACGATGGCATGCATTTTGTAGCTTGTTTACTTTGTCTGGAACCATAGATATTTGCATTTAGATTGAATTCAAGATGAAACTTAAAAACTTTGCCTCCTGGGAGGGGATTGTCACTGATTTATTATCATGAACAGTAAAACCCAGAGACACAACTAGTAAGTTAATTGTGTCTTTTGTTTGTTCCTCAAATTGTCGAGGTGTGTCAGAAATTAGCAGGATATCGTCTATGTATCCTACTAGGTGGTTGCCTTTAGACCTGAGAGAAGCATATACTGGCTTCATTAGTTTTGTGAACACTCTTGGTGCACTAGACAACTGAGCTATTAGGCAAAACATGTGAATTCATACAGTGATGATTTAAAAAGAAACCTAAGGTATTTTCTATGTTCAGTGGCTATTGGCACTGAATAGTATGCATCCTTGAGATCAAGAACTGCCATCCATGAGCCTTTTTTCAAAAGTTGTGCAGCTGATTGCAGGGATTCCATCTTAAAGTGTTCATAGATAACATATTCATTAAGATTTTTCAAATTTAGAATGAGTCTATGTGACCCATCTTTCTTTGGTCTTGTGAAAACTGTTGAAATAAATTCATTATCACAATGCATGGCTTTTGTGATAACTTGTTTGGACATTAATTTATCAATTTCAGTTGAAATGATTTCTTCTTCTCCCTTAGAGAAATGGACACATGGTATTCCAGTTTGGTAAGGAGAAGTCTCAAAGACTATATGATAGCCAGTAATGATCTCAAGGATGTTATTATCAGAGGTTAACAACCTCCAATTATCAACAAATTTAGCTATGTTGCCAGCTCTRAARTTTTTTGTAGCACTTACCAGCTCAATGGAGCTAGGTTGATTTACTTGGACTGTTGGTTCTGCTTTGTTTTGTGCCTCTGGCCTTCTTTCTTCCGCCAAGGCCTGAAGCCTTGGCCTCTGGAGATTTTTGAAGCTCTATCATGAGAGTACTTGTAATTTGARTGGGAGTAAGATGCAGAGTTTGCATAGTTGGAGTGACTTTTGGAGTGAACCAACGAGTGCGAAAATCCCGTACGTCAGCACTTTCCATGATGAAGTTTNGAAATTTGCCATATAAAATACAGCTTCTTTGAACAGTTCTACTGCTGGCGACGGTGGTTGACTTGACAAGCGCGGGTTTCAGTTTCAATTCAAACATCGAAGTTGTGCTGGAACTGAGTGAGTTTTCGCTGTGGTCTTGGGAAATATACTGGGAATATTTGCATTAATTCTTTTAGATGTCGATTAAAACTTGAAAATATATCTTAAGGACCTGCTGGTTCAGAAACTTCAGTGTCTTTAGGCTTCACAATCATAATGAAGTCGCAGAGATGTCAGAGATGTATTCGTTAAGCTATTTGCTTTCGGTCTCTTGGAATTGGATTTCTTTGCTTAAGACTTTTTCTCTGGGCGGAAATTCATAGAGTTAGCTTTTCATCACTCGCCGTTTTAGCTGTTGAATTTCTGTTTTTCTCCTCACAATATTAGTTGTCAATTCACTTTCTAAAATGCCTTGTCTCTAGTCATAAGAACTTCAAGTTGTTGCTTGAATTCCGTGGTACGTTTTCACAAGTCTTTCCTGATTGGACGAAACGCTTTTCGCACGTGTGAGAAATTCGTTTCGCTCCTATGATTGGCTAGTTAATATTTTGTAACGGATTTTCAAATAGTCTAGACATATATGTGAGAAAATCTCAGTATCTATATAATAAAGTTTGTTTCTTAATGATCGGCTTGACAGGTCTGTTTGGAAACACATATGCCAGTCGTTTGAAAATGGGGTGAGCTTAATTTATTTGGATGGAGCAGCGAACAATACGGCTTATAGATACTGGAAGCTAAGACGTAAGATATACAAACAGGCTACTAACACTGAACCAAATGGATAAATTAATGACCAATTCTACTCAGAGTTAAAAGATAGCATTCTTGACTGATGAGTTTCTCAAATACGTATAGTGATACAAAGATTATTAATATATGAGTAAACTAAAGCGAATCGGGAGAATACAGTCTAGATTAAAATAGTTGAGCTGCAATTGAATCTGAACCTGCAAACATATAAGATTTTATGTCTTTTAGGTGCAGTAGCACGTGTTTTCATCTTTTCCTCTGAGGTTATTTATTTCAAGCTTAGTAGTATTAACGTTTGGGACCAGGCTCTCGACAAGCACGCTATTCTATATATGTCATATCAATGTGGAAAAGATAGAGGAAATATGGTTATCTGGGAAGAGTTTATTAA